TGTCTTATAGATGCAAACTCTTCTATGATGTGATGTCATACTTAGTAGCGTCTTTTATCAATACAGAATGCGAACACAGTTCTCCAACCAAAGCACAGAAACCAAATAAAATATAGATAATAATTAAAAATGTATATAACTGATAAAACGTAGAATTCAAAGCATCGAAGTAAGGTAAAGTTATTACTTATTCATTCACCAAGCTATTGTTATTAAAACGAAAGCCGTTAACACGTAAGAAAATATTAGAGAACCTCCGAAAATATAAAAGCACAACACAAATACACGTAACAGAAGGGACAATTTTAAATAAAACGGATAAAACAATACTTGTATGATTCAATAAAAGCGTAAAACAAACACAAATAAAAATTAACATAAAATACGGAAAATTGCGGTATCTGAAGCTAGGTCGTGCGCCAGATGTTCGCGCATCTCGAATCATTTTCCTTTAAATTGTCGTCCACCTCTTAGAGCGATTCTTTAAAAATACAAATTTATTAAAAGATTGCCGTGTTATATAAAAATTAAAAGGAGGTTCATTGCAGAAAAATACATGTTAAATACTATAAACATTAAAAGAAAGGAACATATATACATAGCGAACTCCAGGCATCATCCTTCGCAGGCCTCGACATCGGGACGTCGTTAACTCGCATTTTTTTAGCCATATTTCCTGGGAATACGAAAAAGTATCAAGGGCGTCTCTATCCTCCTCCTTTAGGGCCTCCATCAGGTAGTCCCTTTTGCAGCGCCTATGTCTGCATTCTCGCGCTCTGACCCATTTTTTTCCGCTGGATTTTAGATGATGCTAAGTGGGTGTGACCGTCGTAAGAGCGGCAGCTTACTACAGTATAAATAGGAGTAGTAATATTATTTTTATTAATATTTACTTTCGCTGTATTTGAAAAAAAATCTAAATTGAAGTGATATATATAGTAGACTCACACCCACACAGAAACGAGAACACGTATACAAACAAAGAGGCATTTGAATAAACACACCGCAAGTTAAGTGACCACGCCCTTTTCTCTCAGGGCGACAGCGGAGGACCCTTGCTCTACCAGATTCCCCGTAACGGCGACCCCTGCGAGCACACCGTCATTGGCGTGGTGAGCTTCGGCCAAGGCTGCGGGCGCCTTGGCGTCTACACGAGGGTCTCCTCCTACTTGGACTGGATCACCGGATTCATCGCTCCTAACGCTTGACGTGTCTACAAGCACGTAAACAAACGCTTGAATCTATGAGACAATGTCATGTCGTTAAGATAAACACAGATGCAGATATAGTCTAAATCCCCATAAAAGAAGAAAGAACACAGATGCAGACATACGAACATTGTACACAAAGATAAAGAGAAACAAGACCACAATATAAACACTCCTAACTGAAAATTAAAACTGAAATGGATCCTGTAGTAACATATATAGAGAGGTAGATAAAGAGATAGATACGCATATATACACACACTGTGTGTGTGCAGGCGCATGCGTGCCCCCCTCCCCCACACACACTTCATTTTCCCCGCCCTACACAAAACACTGATTAAAGGCGGCCCATTCTCACATATCAGTAATAAGTCAGTGCTGCGTCCGCTCAAGTCTGTCAGTGTCTGAAAAAATCGTTAACTTGACTTCGGATAGTGCATCCACACATCCCCGGCACAGAACTATGTCTTGACTTAGTGTCAGTTACGTCTCCGTGCCATGAAATTGAAAATCATCGCCACCGATATCTTTATTTTTCACGGACATCGGACGAGTGTTGTGAGTTTTTCAACAAAAATGAATGTTGAATTTCGCTTTATTTTAATACACAAATTAATGTACGGTATTGCAAAATAAACGCCTAAGGAAAATTTCCTATGTGGCTTTGAATAGATAAATACAGTAAATAGCCTACTATAAAATATTTGTATTATTTAACCACAAACAAACTGATAATCGCCCCCTTGGTGTTATAGTCTTTTCTCCAGTGGGTGTCTACTTCTACAAATAAGCCTCTTTTTTACTGAGCACTGTGTTTAAACAGTTTTCGGGCATTCTGAAGTACTGGAACAAAAATTGTTCCATCATCAGTTATCTCCTTGTACAAATTAGCGAGCTCTCCTTTACTTTCTTTTATTCCACGCTTTATGTGCTCACTTTCTTTTTCTTTATTTTTATCCTCTTCATCAAGAATTATGGCAATCATTACCAATTCCACGTCTGAAAACTTTGCTGTTTTGGAAATTACTGATTTCACGCTGCAAGTTATTACTCAGGGGCATCAATTAAGTAGTTGCCAAAACTCTGCCCCCCTCAACAGGCTGCGATTTTTTTTTTTTTTTTTTTTTTTTTTTTCACTTGTCCAGGAGGACAAGTACACCTGACTTTCCACTCGTCCTCTTCTGAATACCACTTGTCCGAAATATTTATATATATATATTATAAAGAAATTTATCAACTGTGATATATGAAACTAATATAAATAACTATTAATTGTGTCATTTTTCTTTTAACATTTTTAAACTGTAATAACAGTCAACATTATGTGATTGTGAATACAATAAAACATTAAAGATACACTAATTTGTTTTATTTGGCACAAAGATTGAAACATTTTATATAGACAATTTACAGCTCATGCTGAATATGATATATATAACAATGGCAGACCAATTGATATATGCATTAAAAAATAATAACATGGATATTCTGATGTATTCAAACTCTAAAATAGTTGACTAGTGGCTCAAATCTCATAATCAAAAATAAAAAATGTTAACTAGTAGCATCATATTTTGGCAAACACAGAATCTCATTTTTATCACATCATAGTATACTAAAAAACTTTAATTATTTATAAGACTAAATTTTACCTTTTTATACTGAATATAATTTTACTAATGATTAAGTTGGCTAGTTACTTTTTAAAAAATAGTATTTAATTTGCTTTCATCTTAAACGATTCTTGAAAAGCAAAAAATAAGAAGCAAATTCTTACACTGAAAAAAATAAAATCATTGCAGGAACATTGGTATTATTGGGTCAAGTTTATATGTATCTTGTACGATATACAGTACTATACTTTCACTTGTACATGAGTCACTCTTTGGGTGAGTTTTCATCATCATCAGCTATGACACAGTCATCAGTGACAACAGTTTCTGTCACACTCTCTGATACAGCATGGCCACCAATATGTCTCTGACCAGGACCGGACTGAAGCCAGAACTCCACAGATGTAAGTGGATTGAACTCAGAGAGAGGAGGGCCATTGATATTTATTTCCATAACAGCATTCAGGGTGTTCTGATTCATTTGCGTACGTTTTGAATTCTTCTCAATATTCATATTTGAGAAACCTCTCTCAACACCTGCAGTGCTGACAGAAATGGCCATCATTATTTCAACGATGTGCAGAATATTGATGAACTTTGTAGGTTTTGACAATAGCATATCAGCAAACACTTCTAACTGGGTTGAAGTTCTCATCTTAGATACATGCAGTTTAAAAGGCAACCATTCCTCAAGTGTGGAACATCTCTGCTCTTCACCAAAAAGTGCTGCAAAGTGATTTAAAATGCCCTCCAGCTCCTGTGTTCCATAATCTGCCAATTCTTCTGAGGCATATGGCCATGTACTGAAATGAAATATTTGGAAGTAACTGTGCGGTGGACTCTGCATTTTTCCAAATCTGGCATCTATGAAGTCCATGGCACCCTGTATCATTTCTGAATACATAGGTTCACACCCACTTTCAAGTTCACCTTTTAATTTCAATTCCTTGAATTCACCATCTTGATATTTCTTAAGAAACGACTTCAAATTTGGACCTGGTTTTGACTTCAGACTGCCAAGCTTGAGTAGGGCAGTTGTCAGTTGTGGCATAACTTCAGTAATAAGGAGGTACTCCACTTGAAATGCCTGAGACATTGTGCTGAGGGCTGCACTGTAATCAATCATGAAATGCAAATATTTCATAAACTTGGTGGTTTGAAGATGTTTCAAAATACCATTGGCTTCAGCACTATCCTTTCTGTTGCCTGTGCTGGCAATATCCTCAAGATGCACAATAGTGGTTTTGATATTCGTTGAAAGGGCTTTCAAGGCACGTTCCTGACTTGCCAACCACCTGATCTGTTGTATTCCCCCATAGTGAACCAGTTTGTCATCAAGTATTTGAGCTATACTGTAAAGTTCTCGTCTACGTTTTGGTGAATAATAGTAAAACTTGAAGACAAGCTGTAAGGTTTCCTCAAATTTTTGAAGATAAGGGATTCCTTTTTTGATATCTAATATGGCAAGCTCCAAGTTGTGATTTATACAATGAATGACAAGCGTATGCGGTACGTCCTTACGTGCCGAGACTTGTACACCACTTTTATGCCCCATATCAACACTGGCCCTATCTAAGTTCAGTCCTATTTGTTTTCTGGCCTGTATATCAGGAGTAACACCAATTGACTCAAGGGCACTCTTTATCCCATCATATACACCTTGACTGGTGGAAGACTTCACTGCAACAAACTGAATAAGTTTAGTGATTGGTTTCCCTTTGTTGACAAATCTGATATAAACCCCTTCTTGTTCAATTATGGCAGAATCAGTAGAGCCATCAGCAAGAATAGAGAAATAATTAGCATGAGATACTTCTTCCTTAGTTTCAGATTTTAAAACTGATGCAATAGCCATGATGAAATCCTTGCAACCATGATCATTAATGTAATTTTTCCCCAACTGTACACCATTCATATTTTGCAACTCGCATAAACTTTCAAATTTTCTAAATGCTAAGTGCTGAGTAACAACATAGCAGGTAGTGTTGAATAGACGCTTGATTTTCTCAACATTGTCAGCATTCATACGTTTTATAACTTTGGCCATTGGAGTAGATTTGGGAGCTGCTTGGGCTTGTATAGCATATTGACATTTCACATGTGCTTTACTTTTTTTATGGAACTTAAGACTGTCTTTCCTGAAACCTTGCTTAGAATCCCCAGTTCCTTTAAACAACATGCTTTCTTGCCCAGCTAACTTAGGAAATTTTCGACAGTATTCACAAAACATCACACCTTTATCATCATCATAATTTACCCATTCATATTCGTTTTTCCATGTCTCTTTAAAAGACCTTTTTTCTATTTGCATCATATTTCTTGTGGCGAGATTCACTATTAGTACATGCATTAGTATTAGGACATAGATCTATAGTTTGCAGTTTTGTTGATGACATTTTACTTTCGGTTTCAGTTTCAGTACATGTACTGTCATCATTTGCTGTTTTACTTTCAATTTCATTATCATTTGTGTTGTCTGTCTTTGTTTTTTAATACTGGGCCCCCAAAAAAACAAAAGGTTACTTTGTGTTGAACCACGTTTTTTTTCAGGTGGCATGTTTACATTTACGCGCTTCATTAACTCACTGAAAAACGTCTGCTAGAAATCTCACACAAACCGGCGAGACCTCACAGAGACGAGATTTCAGACGAGAGGTAAACAAATATGGCAGCCTCCATAATCATAGAACTGAAAGGAACTAGACCTTGCTAGATTTCATTAATTTTATGGAAAAATCTACTGGAAATTTTTACTCGTCCATGCGGACAAGCGAGGTAAACATTTTACTTGTCCTCCACAAGTTTACACTCGTCAAAGACGTGCGGACGTGGGATTTTTCGCAGCCTGCTCAAGACCTGTCTTCCCCCACCCTCAAGGGCCACACCCCAACAACTTTTAGAAACATACAAAGCAGAATAGATCTGTACAGCAACTGCCCCCTCCAGCCCCCTCTAATTGACGCCCCTGGTTATCATCGATCATTATATATCTTAATACTGTATATTTATATACAGTAATATTAGATTTACCTCTTAACTAAAAGATTCAAGAGCAGATGCTCCTCCTAAACATGTATGTATTGTGATCGCATTAGTATCACCAGTACCACTGTCCTGCAACTAGTGATAGTAGAACTACAACGGCAACATATGAATCGATTTATATATTATCCGTGAATACCAAAAAAACATTATATATATGATTTTAAAATACACCATAACATTTAGTCAATAATAGGATTTTGTTTATAGTCTACTGAGTGGTAGTTGTTGGTCCCATCTAGTCGTCTCACTCCAGGAGGTATCCCTTTTCAACATCTCTCTCACCTCCAACTCTCCCACAGGCGAAATATTACCTCGCAACGGAAAAAAAGGCGAACTTGGGGTGGCAACACTCCTGGTGGAGTCGCCGCGTGGCGACGTTTTGCCCTGCAATATGGCTAACAAAAATGGAAGCCGCGGTTTCACGTTGCCAGGGCCTGCACTATACCGCCCTTCAGTATGGCAACCTAAATCGCGATCGCCATCCCTCCAGTGAAGCTCAGGGCGCAAGCATTTATCCCGCCAGTGAGGAGGATGCGCGAGACGGTGTTGCCACGGACCGCTGTTTTTTTTTATATTGTTTGTATTTCTTTTTAATACATGTATAATATGTTTGCATTTGGATGGCACCAGTCTCTCTCAACCACATACGAATGTGATAAAGAGAATTTAATTTATTTTTACATTTTTAAGAATATTTAGTATCTTAGGGATTCCAGTTTTAATACACAGAAGAATTTATCATTTTAATTCAAAGATTTTATAGTAACTTTACTTTTATATCTACTTTTATTTATTGAGCGTTATCGAAGTTTTAAGCACCACTTTCCCAATGGTTCTTCTAAGATAAGATCCTTTATTTATTTATTTTATCATACATAGGATCTTATTTTCATATTTTTCCTTAATTTTTAAAGTTCATTTTACTGATCAAAAAACATGAGAAAGAACCAGTGCCTCAGGTTCTCGCGCCTAAAAGACAATGTGGGAAGTAAGAAAGCAGACCAAAGGGGATTCAGGGATTGGTCTTTAGACTGGATGGACTGCTCAGGGATCCCCGGAATGGGCCTCCCTAAAGACAACTAAGTGGTTGTGGAGTTTGATTATATAGGTTGTGAGAGACAATTTGACCGAATATCTATTTGGATAGTGACAAAAGTGATCTGGTGATTTATATATTTATTATTTTAGTGTTTTCGTATGTGCTTTTGGTTTTATTGCTCTTACTGCTTTATTTATTTTACTGTTTTTTTTAGTGTTTTATTGCACTGAATGTTTTACTGTTTTAAGTGTTTGTTATGCTATTTTAATAAATGTTTTATTATTTGTCGCAGTTTCCCTCGCAAGCCTATGTAAAGGAAAAAAGATTTAATAGTTCAGTGGCTGAAACAGCTCTTGGTCTCGTAATCGCTACTCCCTTGCGTATACGCACACGCCTCTCCTCGGCTCATTCACGCTTACCAACCTTTATACTCCCGCAACCAACACGTACACTACACACACACACACACTGTAAGCGGTATATAAAGGAGCCTCTAAACATTGGTGACAGGGAAGTATTAAAAGCTTGGTGGCTTAAAGCTCTTTATTGATAAGAGCTAGCAAGCACACGGTGAATAAACACAAGGGATGACAAGGCTTGGGTTAAGACGAGGGCGCCTAGGTCAGACGGCAAGCCCTGCCAAACGGCAACCTGGCCGCGCGGTCAGATCGTGACCTCAACCGCGGCACTGAACACTCTGCTTACAGGAGAAACCTACAGGCCTTAAATATCCGAGCGTGGGGAACCCGGCTAGGTTGCGTCCCCAAGCCAAGCGGCTAGTGCGAGTGGGGACGAGGCTAGGTAGCAAGCGGCGTGGGGACACTTCGCTGGGCGGCTTGGCGTGGTGTAAGCATCCACGTGGTCGCATACAGTATATTGTATATTGCTCGGCCACCTACTCACGGCTCGTCCTCGAGGCGATCTAGACTTCCCTCAAGGGTGACCCAACCTGGTTGGTTCCTACTTGCTCGTCCTCGATCTCGGGTGCGGTATCCTTGGTGCATCTCCGTGGCTGCTCGTTCTGTGTCGTCATCCTCGCTCTGGTCCCTGGTAATCCGTTCGTCCTCGACATCCTCACGTCCTCGACTGGTCTCGCACAGGTTCTCGCCCAGACATCCTCGTAGTCCGCGTACAGGTCAAACTCGGCGGCTTATTTGCCCAATGCACGTCTCGCAGATCTCCGTCCAGGTCCTTCTCGGCTGCGCGCTCGTACAGACGTCCTCGTAATCTTCATCAGGATCTACGGGCGTCCGGCAGGAAGCTTCCTCTTCGACATCGTAGGGCGGCTGATACCTGCGCTAATGGGCTCCTGGAGTTTGACTGGGTTTGCGGCATCCAGGCAGGCACGTCCACGCCATCATAGGACGGCGAACCTCTACTGGCGAGCTCCTATTTCCACTGGGTCTCGGGTGTCCTGGCGAGCGGCGATCTCTGATGATGTTTTCTAATGGCTTCCGAAGGTGACCGTTTCTGCAGCAGGTCCTCCTTCGGTGCCGTTTCAGATATCGGGCCAGATAGTGAGAGAAGGAAAAACGACAGAGAAGAGAACGTGTTAAATGCTACAAGCCGATTTTTTGTTTCATAATTTGCAGTTTTTCAAGTTGAATTTTCGTTATTTTCGTCTTTTTTTTTATTTTTTTATTTTGTGCTTTATGTTCACAAAGTTAAGCTAAAAGAAGAAAATAGAAGAGGGAGACGTTGGTAGCGATCCGCAAGGATCCACTTGAGCTACCATCATCTCGTGAAATGATAAAGTAAGGGAAACGACCATTGGCATTCCGCAAGGAATTACTTGAACCAAGTGTCGAAACAGAAATCACGTACAAGTCACGCATCACGACTAACAATATTGCGGCAACAAATACTTATGCCTGCAACTAAGACAGCAGCAAATCCTATTAATGAAGGTTTCAGTGTCTTTTGATCTGTGTCGGTGAGTGAGTGAGTATGTGGGCATATTTGAGTGACAGTGATTGATGAGTGTCAAATGAAAGTAAGATTGACCTCCTATAGCAGTAGAGTTGCCAACACGCTGAATAGAGTTCATATTTACCATAATGCGACTAAGTATTTAAAGACGTAATTCAGAATTATTCCAAGTACCACATTGAATTTAACATTTAATGATATGTGACAAAATGACGCATTAATGAACGATGACGTGAAAATTATTCGCAAACCTTTTCGCGAGCATATCGGGTTGTGATTAATTAAGTGGATCCTAAATCAAACTTAAATCCTAGTCCTAAATTAATGGACATAATTGCGGTCACCCTGGCTCAAAGTTTGCCGAACGTATGATTTACTTCAGTTACTTTAACTTGCTATCATTGCCGGAACTATCATCATCTAAAGGAGACGCCGAGTACATTACGCATAAAAATGCAACCTCAAGTATTCAGATACTCTGACACTATGTATGAGGCTATCTCTTGACGCTATATTTAATTATACGTGTCGCGTTACAAGTTCCATTCTAGCGCCGATAGAATTTGTCACCATGAACAAGTAACGGTTGCTATGCATTAACCCTATATTGTGACCACTAGTTCAAACAATTAAAGGGAAGTGCAAGCTGTTTTCTCAGCCATATCACTTTGACAGTCACCCAAGCTCAAGTCAGGTCAGAGCTACCAGCTATTTAAGCAGGCTGACTTAATGACTTTCACGTGAGGTCAGGTCAAAACAGGAAATGGGGAGAGAAGAATTTAATGAGTGAATGTTCGTGAAAGAATAAATTCACGAACGCGCTAAATTCGCATGATTGAAACAATATAATTTAATCACGAAAAAAAATTAAATAGACGCTCAATTAATGAACGATTTCATAATGTTTAACTCCGTACCGCGATTGACAGTAATGAGAAGTGAGGTCAGAAAATGAGAAATGACAGTGAGAAATAAGAGTATGCCATTGCTATTCTTAGCACTTTTAACCCAAAAAACTTACGTGAGCTGGCTGTACACGGCCTAACACATTTAGGAAAAAATAGAAAAGAAATGAAAAGAGAAAGGGGCCAAAAATGTGTACTCACAGTTTCTTGAAGAAATGTCATCTTGTGTTTGCTTGAAGCCGAGCGGTTTTCTTCGGAAAA